TAACATTAGCTCTGCCAATCCCCACTTACTAGTAAGGTTATACTAAATTAGTGATTTCGCACCTTTAAAAATATTCTCACCTGCTGTGGTGCTACGCCGACTGTTCTTCAATCTTCAAACCGAACATGAGCCCTGAATAAACAACGGATCAAGTGCCAAGGAAAACGATTCAAAATGGTTTGGCCTGTTTTTAATTAACTATTTGTTTTCAATGTTCTCAACTCTTCAAGCAACCATTCCTATCCAAAGGATAGTTGCCTTAAATAAGTTTATTTTCTCTGAGCATTTTTTTCCCCCAGAGAAATTAACTCAACATTGGTAAACAGCTTTCCATGTTTAGGGAATGAACGAGGTACTCATACCTTACATTCAAAGCCCACTTTTTTCTTTTTTATCATGTCCCTATGCCCCAATAATTTTTAAAAAATCACTCAACAGACTTTTAAGAAATTGTTTATTGACTCCAGAGAGGGAGAGAAAGGAGGGCGGGAGGGAGGAAGGGAATTAACCCTAAATTGGTTGCCTCCTGGAGGCGCCCTGACCTGGCATCCAAAACCCGGGCATGTGCCCTGACCAGGAACCAAAGTTGGGATCTTCCGGTGCAAGGGACAAGGCTCCCGTCAACTGAGCCAGGACTTGAGACACTTTTTTGAAAATTAAGCTTTTTTTATTGAACTTTTTTTTCCTATTTACATTATTGATTTATTCATGGGAATGTATCATATTGTTATTTAAGTCTCCAAACTTCTTTTGTTTAAAAATATTTTTTTATTGATTTCAAAGAGGAAGGGAGAGAAAGAGAGAAACATTAATGATGGGAATCATTGATGGGCTGCCTCCTGCACGCCCCCTACTGGGGGTGCAGCCCACAACCTGGGCACGTGCCCTTGAGCAGAATGGAACCAGGGACCTTTCAGTCCGCAGGCCGACGCTCTATCCACTGAGCCAAACCGGTTTCGGCCCAACATAGAAACATCAATGATGAGAGAGAATCATTGATCGGCTGCCTCCTGGACGTTCCCTACTGGGGATCGAGCCCGCAACCAGGGCATGTGCCCTTGACTGGAATTGAACCCAGGACTCTTCAGTCCGCAGGCGGGATGCTCTATCCACTGAGCCAAACCAGCCAGGGCAGAATGTGCCTTTTAAAAAATATTTTTAAAAAATATATTTTATTGGATTAAAGAGGAATGACATGATTTAAATCACGTGTTAACAGTATAACTCTGGTTAATTACAGCCAAGTAAGGACAGAAGCAGGAAAGCCTGTTAGAAAGCTATTGCAATAATCCAAGGATTAATATTGAGACCGTACCAAATGTCTAATTCTGAATATATTTTTAAGATAGAGCCAGTAGGATTTCCTAACAGCTTACATATAGTGTAAAATGAAAAGAGGAGTCAATTATTACTGAAAAGGTTTGGGCCTGTGCACTTGGAAAGATGGAGCTGCCAATTACTGAGAGGGGGAAGATGGTGGGAGAAACAAATTCAGCAAGATGAAGAATTCAGTTGTGGCCCGGCCAGGGTGGCTCAGAGGTTGAGCATCCACCTGTGAGCCAGGTCACCGCTCAATTCCCGGTCAGGGCACAGGCCCAGATTTCGGCTCTATCCCCAGTGAGGGACGTGCCGGTAACAGCCGATCAATGATCCCCTCTCATCACTGATCTTCCTCTCTCTCTCTCCCAGCCTGAAATCAATAAAAGTATGTATATTTAAAATATATATATTTTATAGGTTTTTTGCGAGAGAGGAAGGCAGAGGGATAGAGAGTTAGAAACATCGATGAGAGAGAAACATCGATCAGCTGCCTCCTGCACGCCCCCTATTGGGGATGTGCCCGCAACCAAGGTACATGCCCTTGACCGGAATCGAACCCGGGACCCTTCAGTCCGCAGGCCGACGCTCTATCCACTGAACCACACCGGCCAGGGCCGAATGTGCCTTATTTAATCAGCACAAAACCATCACTGTTCACAGAGCATGATTAGTATTTCCTACAGTTATAGCTGGTCCCCAATATTCTATTTCTGCCCCATCAGTGTTACCTGTGTCCCCTCTTCCCCCCAGACCCCTTTTAATTCAGCCCAGTTCCCCCGCC